GTTTAATTCTGGGGGACTTAACTAATTAACTAATCTAAAAATATATAGGGGGATCACCACAGGGGAATTATGAAGAAAGTAGAGTAATTGGGCATACATATCATTTTAACAAGGTTGGCTCTGCCAATCAAGGAGAGCCAGAGCTTGTTCCAAATCTTGATTTTGGCCTTAAAGTAATGGGGTATGACATTAAGTGCGCAGTAGTCTGTAATAATTGGGGAGGTATGTATCCCAAGATACTTAAATGGCTGCACCATGGGGACAGGACAAAAAGTAGAGAGGAATTGGGAAACCACCCCATCTAGCGGTAGAAGAGCAGATTTCGGACAGTTTTTGTCAACCCAGAGAAAAGGCCAGAAGCGGTTATTACTGCCATGACCTATCTCAGTGAAGTATCCTTGTCCCCCAGGAACAGAAGCAAACCATCTATGTATAGGGTGATTTTCTCATGTACTGACCCATAATGAAAGCCCACTATTTTGTCATTCTCCCTGATCATCGCAGCCAAATGCTCTATAGCCAGAGCAAACATGAGAGGGGGAACCCTTGCCTTGTCCCCCTACCTAGACCAAAAGCCTGGGAGGACCTGCCTCCCCCTCTAATGGAAGCGTTCGGGGCATGGTATAGCAGTTTCACCCATAAATACGTCCGCAAAACCAATTCTCTGCAGGGTATGCCAGAGGTATGGCCATTCCACACTATGAAATGCCTTGTTGGCATCTAAGAAGAGGAGTGCCTGGTTTGAATGAGTCATAAATTACTATACACATTCCTACAGTTGGCTGTTCAGCTGCTTATTAGGTCTATTAGATAGGAAGTCCAAATGCCAACTGAAGAAGTGCATATGACAGTGTGACAACACTCTGCTTATTGAGAAGCTGTGGCTTAGTGCTGTCAGTCTGCAATAAGAAGCACTGTTACTGGCAGGATACATAGGTAACACATTTTGCAATAGATTTACAAAAAAAAAATCATTTATTCAGGGAGGCATGATGCCAAACATACTAAAAAATAGATTTATGAGTTGCAATTTAAAGCCTATTTACTGCATATTAGGGTTGTAAATTCTTGAAATGTCCATAGCCTGGGAACAATTCTACTGAAGTTAAAAGTAAATAGTGCAATATTAACTTAAAACATGTGCTCACTAATAATAAACTGAGGGAGGCTGCAGCACCGCAATGGAGGAAAGCTAGGAGACAAGGGCCCCAGAAGGGGATAGTAGAATACTTCTTCTAGTGTATGGATTTTTAATCTGTAAATTTTGTTAATCTGACAGGGTCACTTTAACACACTTCTCAAAGCACACAATCAAAACATTAGTTTGCTGCGGCATGCTGCTGTCCAGGGTGGGGCTTATTTAAGCAGTAATCTGACAGCTACAGCATTCAGACCACATAAACAGTTTGTTCCAGGATATACAAATTGCTTAAAGTAAATTATACACATAAAATGGTAGATGACTTATGATAGAGGTGATACACAATTAATAGTTTACTTCAATTGTTTTATTAGTAGTAAAGAGGTTCTTCAGCCCCCTATGTGATAATTCAAAGTCAGCAGCTACAAAAGACTTTTAAACAACAGCCACTCACTTATCCAGGGATCCAGCACCGTGCTTAACCGACTCAATTTCTTCACCTTTCTTTGGTCCCTGGCACTTGCATCTTAAATATAGGCAGCCAACTGTGACTGCTTGTGGCTTCGCAGCCGGCTGCCCACTGTGCATGCGTGAGCTATGCTGCGCCTTGTGAATGGTCTTGCAGTCTCCTGGGACCTGTGATGTGTCTCATGAGGCTATGGAGAGAGAAGGGGGGAGATGAACGTCCACTCTAATCACCTATGCAGTTGGAGGGGAAGTGGGAGCAGATACCTGTCAAAACCAGGTACCTGTTCCCCCCAAAAAATATGCTAGTTTTGACAGAGGAGGGGGGGTATGAGGAGGAACAGTGGAACTTCCTCTTCTTGGAGAAATTCTGCTTTAATACTAACCCCTTCGCGCCGACGTTGCACAAATATGCGGCCTCACTGAACTGAGCTTTTTTCCGTGGGGACGCATATTTGCGTACCTGTCTTTCTGCTGGGAGTGCGCCACACAGACCAGGGTGTCACTGAGAGCCCCGGGTCCCGTTCTAACGATTGGGACCCGGGACTCCCGATTCCGGGTCACATGCTCGCTGTGATAGCCTCTGATTGGCTATCACAGTGATCAGTCACTGTATAGCCCGCCCCCCTTGTTTTTTTTTTCTCTATGAATGGAGGAGAGAGATACATTGTATCTCTAACTCCTGTCATAGAGGAAAAAAAAATGATTGTTAAAAAAAAAAAAGATCAATAAATATTAAAAAATGTATTAAATTAAAAATAAAGAAAAAATACCTATCTCAAGGTTTGAACTAGTTTAGTGCCAGGGTAAGTGTTTGGGTCAAGAGCCAGGATTTTTTTTTTTAAACTGGTACCAGTGTTAGTGTGTTTTAGGTAAAACAAAAAACAAAATGCGCACTATTGATTCTGGGCTGTACTACGGGTACAAACAACAAATAACATACACATATATGGTATCACTGCGATTGCCAAGAGCTGGAAAATTTATTTTGGGTTGTTCTTTGGTAGTAACAAGAAACACACAGCTAAATTAAAATAAATTATTTTTTTTTTACTACTTTGGGCCAGTTTTCCTTTGATAAAAAAAATCAGGAGATATCCATTACCATTTACCACCAAATGAAAGCCCAATTTGTCCTGAAAGAAACAAAGTATAATTCACCTGGATGCACAAAGTAGTTGTGATGTTGCAAAATTGTGCTTAGGCATTAAGATTTGTTTTACCCTTAGGCATGAAGGGGTTAATATTTATCATTATTATATGTCGTTTATTAATTTATAAATGTATTATTAGTATTATTTTGTATAAACTTGCATACTTGTGAAGATTTTCTTCTTCAGCAAAAATATTCTCTGCTGAAAACACAGTTGGAATTTTACTCTATAATTTATAAAAAATTAGTTTTAACAGGGTCCATTTACTAAGCTATAATGATTATTATTTCCAGCAATGAGAGCCAATTATAGGTGTAGAGAAAAACAACTAATTGAAAGAAAAACAATTGTATGGCAAAATAACACATATGGAAGATATTAGTTAAGTGAATTTTTTTTTACATAAAAGTAGTTTATTGATTGGTATTTTACTATTTAGGAGTTAATTTATAGCAGAAACAGATAGCAGATATTACAATTTGCACACCATTATAATCTGCTAGGTTACTCCACACCTGAATGTGGCCTGAATTTTGCAGCCTGTTTATAAAATGTATACCTTGATGTGGCGCTTGCAGTACTTCAGAGAGAATGCCATGACTGGAGGAGAGGCCAATCAAATAACGTCTGTAGGTTACATGAGCAGGCTCTCCTCCTGTTTTTTTGTTTGTTTTGCATTTTTTTTGCGCGCCACTTTCTTTGCAGTCCCAAAACAAGGAAAGTACAATGCACATTTGCAAAGCACACTGTTGCGCTTTTATAAATGCTTCTTATTTTATTTTTCACTTTTAAGTGGTATGGTAGTGATAAGGCTGCTTTATACATTGATCCCTTAGTGGTGGGAACACCTTTTCTGAATACTTCAGAATGGGGAAAAGTTTATAGGTTTGATCTACCAACATGTTTTTACTAACTGGAGTTACTTCTGCTTAGCCACCAGTTAGGTTCAGTCCTATACTGAATATTCAAATCTGAAAGCTTGAGGGGAAAATTTCCACTTTAAGTAAGAACGGTTTGATGCATCATTCCCGTTATCTTTTAATTGGTGATGAGCTCTGGTTTAATCCCATCCCCAAGTACATCCAAACTTGAGAGTTAGCTGTCATTGCTAGGTTGTGCTGGGAGGTTTTCCTCCCTCTAGCTGATGTACACAAAGGGGTGGGAATGCTTGCAACATCAATGACCTAATGTGGGCACATCTAATTTTGGGGTTTGGAGTGAACCCAAGCACTTCCTTGCTTATAATTACCAAGTGTACAAAAGGGGGTTGAATAAATCTTCAGGGAAACTAAACCTCTTTTAAACCCATTTAGATGACCCTCAATGTATAGAGTTAATAGTAAAGCTGGCTAAACATTCCTTGAGTAAGAAATGGTTAAAATTCCTTTTGGACTTTTTTTTTTTGAGTGTGGAGCCTGATTTCACTTGGAGTGGCATGTGAAATATTTAACTGAAAAGTTTCAGTTTTCCCATCACATTCTGTCCCCAAATTAAGAGGGAAAATCGCTCTAAAGATGACACAGAGAGCAATAAAAACCTGAAGTACTAACACAGGTTTTCTCAACTAGGGTTCTTCTAGAGATTGCTAGGGGTTCCTTGAGCAATGAGCAATTTCTGCCTCTCAGAGAAGTTCATTGATCGCTTTAGCTATCTGTAAGGGGGTAATTCTTCCCAATGACCACAAGTGTAGGGAACATTCTTCCTACTGACCATCACATTAATAAACGTAGTATATTATGAGTTGTAGATAGTCATTTTTAGCAGGGGTTCCCTCAGACTGGAAAGTTATTTCAAGGGTTCCTCTGTATTGAAAAGGTTGAGAAAGGCTGCTCTAAAACAATAAACCATCCATTTCTGAAAGTTTTCATGGTACCTTTAAGCCAAAAGTAATCACTTATGATCCTAAATGTCAACACGAAAAAATTGGATATGGTCAAAAAATACCCAAGTAGCACAAGCTACAGACTTCAATATAAAAGAAACCACCTGCTCTGGGTGGAAACAATTCTGTTCCTTGAGACTGGAAAGTTAATTCAAGGGTCCCTTTGTGTTGAAACAGTTGGGAAAGGCTGTTACCATTCCAAACTATCAAAAACTACCACAAACTGTTTTGGCTTTAGATATCTTTTAAATGATTTCAAAGGTTTCAGAATGACTCATGCTCAGGATGGAGGTAGAGTTGTAAAGATCAATAACAGGATTCCCTGATTGTAATTCCTCATATTTTCCATTTTTTCCAGCGTTGGAATCAGAAACTTCGTCTCCCCCGAAAAAGCGATTTTCCTGTGGCACAAAACGGCAATAAAAACAGCAACTCAAGACAAATGCAGAGCTAGACTAGCAGGATAATGTTTCTAAAACTCTGTGGACTTTTATACAAAGATTTGCATTGGTGGAGCAGAAAAGAAGAAATTGCACTATTGCACGTTATAACCTATTGTTTACTACAAAATATTGTAGTTGATTTTAGTTTTTTTCCCTTTTTTATATTTGCACGAATTACTAAGCAATAGTTTTAGTCCACTTTCATTAATGTCAAAGTTGTTTATCTAAATAATTAGCCCGATGGATGAGAAGCTTGGAGAGAATTTATGTTAAAGATGTTCCTGATTGCTTTAATAGGACTCACCTATGAAAATTGTTCATGAAACTATTTTGCCCATAGGAACCAGATGATTCTTTTCATGTCATTCCCTTTCAGTGGAAGAAAAAGAATGACAGCAAAAGACAACAAATATGGCTTTTTCCAACACTTTCACATTTAAGGCCAGGGCCTTTAGGGTCTCTTCACACCTGTGCTTGCTTTAATGTTTGTGATTTTATTTTAGGCTCAAGGCACATTGGGTGTTTAGTCCTGCTGCATGAGACACCAGTGTTTAGGTGCAGGCAGAACACACAGGTGCACCATCCAGTCCCACTTTCGGCACCCAGTCAAACTCTATGAGAGAGACTGACAGCTGCTGCGGTTGGACAGGGCTTGAGTGCTATTAATGTTTAGACAGTATGTGCTCAGGGATGAACGCCAAAAATGTATGCAGCCCTAATATTCATCCCTAGGCACGTACTGCCCTGAACGTTAGGAGCACATGTCCACCATCCAGCCTTGTCCATCTGCAGCAGCTGTCAGCTTCTCATGGAGTTTTTCAGGTTGCTGGCAGCGGGACTGGATGGTACACCTGTGCCTTCTTCCAGCACCTAAATGCTAAACACCCATTGTACAGGAGGCCTTAAGGTTTGCTGTATAAAGGCAGCTAGTTAATTTGGAATGGGCTGACAGCATAAAAAAAGGCACCTGCTGCATTTTGGGCAACCTAGTACAACATAAAGCATATTATGTGTGATGTGGTGCACTGTACATTGTTGGGAGCTACTGTACATTTTCAGGAGAGCTACTCTAAATAAATGGCCCTACAATACACATAGTACCATGTGTTACTGTAATGTTCAATCCACAGGTGTCTGGCCAGCATTAGGCTAGCTTTAGCTCATATGCATTGCAACGTGTTTGGTAATGCACATGCAAAGGTTTGAGCACCCCCATATACTTTCCATTTGCCTTCATACTAAACTGAAGTCCATAGATTTGAACTAGCCCTACAGGTAGAATATGATTTCTACTTGAAATGCATTTTCATGCAGCAAAATGTCCTTAAAGCTGTACTTCAGCCTCCCCTTCAGTCTTGCACAGTTGTACCAGCTCCCCTCCTGTACTGAAAATGCTTAGTATGATATTACTGCACATTGTGAACTCACAGTGATGCATTAGATGCTACAGCAAGTCAAATAGAGCCCAATTTGTTTTCTGGCTGGATGATATCCAGCATCATTTAGCCATTTCCTCCTCAGATTGACTGCTCCTGGCCCTCCCTTTTCATTTATTGGCTCTCAGTTCAATCATGGAGGCACAGATGTATATGTTGGCATTTCCTTTGGCATTCTGCATTCAAATGCAGCCTACTAAGGAAAGCCCACTCCTCCAGACTGAGGTCCAACCCTTCAAAGCATTTTGATATTTGCATAGCTTCTCCCAAAATCCAGGCCCCTGTTTGCATCAGGACTGATGAATCTTGAGGGGAGGCAGGGTGCTGGGATGTTTTCAGGTAGCTATGTACAGCACCTTGCCAGCCCCACTCACCAGCCATGACCTGTCTACATTGCAAGGAGAAGCACAGGGACACGGGTTGACATCACTGGGTCAAAAATAAGGTACTAAATGACAATGTAGAGATTTATAAGAAAATATGTAATAATTATGTAAGGAAAATATAGGCAAATTAAGCTTCAGCTTCAAGGAGCGTTTGGCCAAGGGTCAAGGTGTATAAACAATGTATCATCTACACCAACCAGAGATATGTCTCCTTTCATTTTCTATCCTCCCTGAAAAATGACTGACTGAATCTGAATGGTTGCTATGGGCAAGACAGATTGTTTCTTTCGTTTTGCTTATTTGTTATTTGAGACCCAAAGATCCCCATTCTTTGAATATATGGAGTGCAAGCTTTGTTTAGCAGATAGCTGAAAGCAGCTTACACTATAACCACCATATGGATATTCTTTTCCAATATACTGTAATTAACAAACTACTGATGCAAAGGTCATTAATCTGATTTACTAAAGGAATAGAGAAAGTTCACTTTGCAAAGTGATGCTCACTTAGCTTAATGAAATAGATTAAGCTGTGTTCATTTTAATCATCCTGTTGTGTTTTTTATTGCTTCCCTTGCATGTGACTGGGTATTCAAAGCGAACACAGCTTCACCTTACAAGCTACACAAAGGAAACACTCTATTCCTTTATTGAAGAACCTGTGTCAGGTTTGTATGGCTGTATGTGTCCAAGGAGAGTCACATTTTCTATATGTCCTAATGATCTGCCACCAGGAACCAAAGTGACCTGTTACCAGGTCAGGAATAGAGGTACAATCTTCCAGAAAGGATTTCCTTCACTTTGAAGTGATTTAGAGTCTGTTTTACCAAAGGAGTTTAGAGTTTTCACTCAATAAAATGTGTGCATCACATGATTGGATAATTGCAGTGAAGTGAATATTCAATTCTCCATTCTTTTAGTAAATTAGTAAAATTGTATCTAACTCGCTTTGTGTTGTGTCTACAGAACAAGAAGTAAAGAGAAATCTCCCCAAATAGGACACAGATGACAAAGACCCTGTCCCACTTTATCTAAAATGAAAATAAAGGTTTTGGCTTTGGATATATTTAACTCTCATTTGAGCTGAATTACCAAAGCTTGTCATGAAACTAAGATATAAGGGCTTATTCAATAAAACAGTGCAAGCTGCAAAAGCGCTGTGTATCATTGTAACCAGATTCCATCTTCTACTGGTGTGACATCAGTAAAGTTGATTCGGTATGGTAGTAACCAGATTCCATCTTCTACTGGTGTGACATCAGTAGAGTCGATTCAGTATGGTGGTAACCAGATTCCATCTTCTACTGGTGTGACATCAGTAAAGTCGATTCGGTATGGTAGTAACCAGATTCCATCTTCTACTGGTGTGACATCAGTAAAGTCGATTCGGTATGGTAGTAACCAGATTCCATCTTCTACTGGTGTGACATCAGTAAAGTCGATTCGGTATGGTAGTAACCAGATTCCATCATCTACTGGTGTGACATCAGTAAAGTCGATTCAGTATGGTAGTAACCAGATTCCATCTTCTACTGGTGTGACATCAGTAAAGTCGATTCGGTATGGTAGTAACCAGATTCCATTGTCTACTGGTGTGATATCAATAAAGTCGATTCGGTATGGTTGTTATGTGTTAGCACACTTTTCTCTCACATTCTCAGAACCATCATAAACCCCCACACACAATACCATACGAATCCTTTGCTACAAGGTCAAACCTTGAGCCATTGTTTAGGCTATCACTTGTCTGAGAGACAGGAAAGCTCCAGAATATTAAAGGCTCATGGGGAAGAGAACAATGATGATTGATGAACATTATCACACTCCTGAGCTGCGGTGGTGGCATTAGAGTCACTTTTAATCAGTAAAAAGCTGGACAATTCTTGGGAAAAGAAGGTTCTAAGAAAGTTTTTTCATTTTTCTATTCATTAGTGGGTCAAATTGCCATTTTCAACCACAGTGACAAGAAAATTTGAAGGAGCCGGTTGTAAACAAATTTCTAAGTGTCTGTGATTTTTCATTGTGTAAAGTACATTAATTCCAAAATTGAATGCTAAAAGCAAATTAAATCTTTCAAACGACAAATGAATGTTCTCAGAATTTTCATACAAATTCCTAACAATTTTTGCTTGATATTCTCTCCATCTATGGCCAGCTTAAATAGGAGCTCCAGTCTAATTTTTAAAGATTCAAAGACAGCATCTACAAAAACTGGCTTTTAATAAACAGACACTCACCTGTCCCAAGTTCCAGCGCTGTGCTCACCCGAGTCCTTTGTTCCACTGGTCTTTGGTCCTCGGCAACAGCATCTTAACTATGGGCATCTGGATGTAACAGCTTCTGGCTTCACAACTGGGTGCCCACTGCGCATGCACAAGCCGTGCTGCACATTTTGAATGGTCCTACAGTATTCTGGGATCTTTGACAGGGGGAGACTTTTGCTTAGATCGCTTAGGCAATCTGAGTGGAAGTGGGATTGGGTACCTGTCAAAACCCCCCCCCCCCAAAAAAAAGGCAATTTGTTAATGATGAGCTGGGGAGAAAGCCTTAAAGCAGAACTTCCCCTTTTGATGAAGTTCCGCTTTAAGGCTGGGAGGATCTAGGATGGATTTCAGAAAAGCAGTGATTGTCGTCATGGAGATCATGATTTACCATTTTCACAAGGATTGTCTATATTCATGTAGAGAATATTATATGAAATGTGTAGATTTTTACCACTATTAAGTACTTTTAAGGGGGTTCTACCAACTTAAGTAACTGGTCTGGAAGGAAATGGGGTTGATTTACTAAAACTGTTAAGTGTAAAATCTGGTGCAGCTGTGCATGGTAGCCAATCAGCTTCTAACAGCTTGTTCAATTAAGCTTTGACAATAAAACCTGGCAGCTGATTGGTTTAAATACAAAGCTGCACCAGATTATGCACTCTCCAGTTTTAGTAAATCAAGCCCAATACAGTCTCAATTAAAAAAAGCCTTAAAGAAGAATTTCGGGCAAAATTATTTTCTTTTCATACAGTGGGGCTGTGCCCACACTGCATGAGTTAAATGCTCGTTTTTGTCTAGGAGCTCAAAAAAAGACTGCTAGTGGTCTTGTGAAAGGGATGTTCCTGACGTCATCATGCCCATAGACCAGACGTGAGGATGGTAGGACCAGTCCACCACTGGATGTAGGGGAGCGCAGTTTTCCGGGG